GTGTGTGTGTGTGTGTGTGTGTGTGTGTGTGTGTGTGTGTGTGTGTGTGTGTGTGTGCTGGTGCTCTTCAGTAGGTGAGAAGTGGGGTTTTTCAGTATCCAGCTTGGTCCGAATTGGTGTGTTCTCGGCTTTTGTAATTCTGCTTTCAAGTCGGCCCACTCATGCTGGGTCATCTATTGCTTTGCACCTTGGAAAAGTTTTGTATTCTCATTGGATGGTTCCTTTACTATCCATACCCAAGTCCTGTGTGTGTGTGCTGGTGCTCTTCAGTAGGTGAGAAGTGGGGTTTTCTTTGTTAAGTGACTTCAGTATCCAGTTTGGTCCGAATTGGTGTGTTCTCGGCTTTTGTAATTCTGCTTTCAAGTCGGCCCACTCATGCTGGGCAATCTATGGCTTTGCACCTTGGAAAAGTTTTGTATTCTCATTGGATGGTTCCTTTACTATCCATACCCAAGTCCTCTTATGCCTGCCACAGCCAGAATCAGTGATGGTGGGGTGCCGCCATAGGCAAAAACGTTTCTCGAGGAACCCTCAGGTGCTTGGCAGATTCCTCCTTCCTCATCATCCACACATGGAGGACCAGTCGCTTATGTGGGCATGGCAGCCAGTGGACTTGAGCTTCCTCAGCTGGTCTCTTGTCCTCGCGGAAGGTACCATGGGCCAAGGCTGGTCTTATTGGAAGCTTCACTTGGGCCTGATGCTTTGTAGTTGGGCCAGGTTACAGCTATAGTAGAGCTGGCTTAATTGGGCCTGATGCTTGAGGCGATGGGTAACGTCCAAAAGTTTGAATGTTCCAACTCCAGCTGTTTGCAAATGGTCGTTTGGGTCTGGAGGGAATTGAACTGCAAAGCATGATATTTGGCATACGTACCTGATTTTTTAAGCCAGTGCTCTTGGTTTGGCATGTTTTGTTGTCTTGTTTTGGTAGGGATCCGGATTGGCTGTCCAAACTGAGCTTGCCTTCGTCCGACCCAACCCTGAGATCTGAGGTGAGTCGTATCCAAATTTATGATGGTTGAGTGAGTGTATGTTCAGACCACCAGTACCACATCCAGCTTTCCATAGATCCTTTGCCTGTTAACACTGGTCTGCATTCAGGTTGGGCCTAACGGAGGTGAGTGGCCCCATAGAGTGAAGTTGTTCTTGCCAATATGGTTCCCTCTCCACAGGAGGAACACCCAAAGCAGCCAAAGCATTCCTGGTGGCATCATGAATTGCCTTGACCTCGCCTGTTTTGGACACTGTACAACATGGGCTTCAAAGTAATATCGACCATGTATGTCAACTGTTTTGGCTTCGCCCTGAGCACATTGTTTTAATTCTTACTTCAACTTCTTGGTCCCTTTGGCTCTACCACTTTGAGATCGTTCCTTCATGGTGTTGATGGCTGTCCCTTTGGCTCTACCACTTTGAGATCGTTCCTTCATGGTGTTNCCTTCATGGTGTTGATGGCTGTCCCTTTGGCTCTACCACTTTGAGATCGTTCCTTCATGGTGTTGATGGCTGTCCCTTTGGCTCTACCACTTTGACCTCGTCTTAGTGACTTTTATTCCCTGCATAGCATAGACTGGTGCGACGGTAAAACCGAACCGCGATTAGGAGGACAGTCTCTGTGGCAACAGATGGCTAGGAATTTTGTGTAGATGGCTGTCCAGCCGATAAACAGCCTATCTGCACAAAGTCCAGTAGTGCCGATCGGGTGGGGCCACAAAAATGTTCATTGTGGGGAACTCGGTCGCAAAGGTGTGTGGCGCACACACGAAAATTACGAAGGACCGGTCTCGCTCCACTATTGACTCTCGAAAAATTTAGAGTGTAGCTCAGGAACTGTCAGACGAATGAAGTCGTTAAAAATCCTTGCCTTGCTCCGCTTACTCTAGAAGGCAGGACTCTCGAACTTCGAGAGCACTAGCCGACAGCAGTACCTGACAATGGAAGTTTTGTTTTGTCCACATTGACTCCAAGTGGACTCCCGAAAAACGTGCTCGTTTGGAGAGGGCCCTCTGAGATAAGTAATTTGCAGGCAGCAGGCAGCAGAACTCTCAGACTCTTGAAACATCGAGAGTGGAGAGTAGTGAAGCGAGACCCATCATGCCTCATTTTCAAAAGGTGTTGACAGTACTTGTCATGACACGGCTGTGCGGGCCCCTCCTCCGATGACTTTTCAATTGCGAACGACTTTCTTTGCCACTTGTGCCTCATGTCCTGATCTACCCTCCCTTTCTCCTTCCGTCTGTGGCACCCCCTGCTCTTCATGCCTTCATCTTCGGCACCTCCCTCTTCTCAGCGCTTCTCCCTCCTTTTGCAGTGCCAGCTCTCCTGGTGCCAGCCTTCTTCTGTCCTACAGTCATATCACTGGTGGTAGAACGATCATGTTGATGACAAGTGGAGCACAGCGGTGGTTTGGAGGTGAAACAGGCAGGTGAAGATGGGAGAGAGCTTTAAGTAAATGAATGCATGACCGTCTTCTCTTTCTCCATAGGCACTGAAGAAATGATGCTTTTCATTATTTAGCTTAGTGTTATGATCCTGGTTATCTAGAAGTGCAATAACTCAAAGAAATACAATGCCACTCATTTGCAACTGAAATGAAAAAACAAAACTCGGAAAGAGAAATAGACAAGGGAAGAAGATGTACACCAGCAAAGACTAATGTCAAATCCCTCTCCAACTTGCTTGCCATCACCTTCAACCTCCTTATCTCCCCCAACTTCGTCTTTTCAGTAAATAATAATAATAACAATGAAAGAATGAACCAGAACCAATATCCGAATCTCCCCCTTACTGCCAGCAACTGTCCGAAAACTTGGTGCCCGTCCTGAGGGCGAAAGTGAAAATGCCTCAGGGCCAGAACTGAAAATGGAAAGTCTGAGAGTGGGCGCCAGAATGTCGGATGGCACCAAGTGTCCGAAATCCAAAGTCCCAAAAGAAGGAAGTTGAAAACGGGTGGCAGAATGCAGATGGCGCCAACTGTCCGAAATCAGAAAAGCAAGAACAAAAACAAAAGAATTGCAAAGTAAAACAAAGAAGACAAATACAGCAAACTGGCGGGTGGTAACCTGCAGACTAGGGATCAAGCCCTTTTTCTTCCTGCTTCCCAGTGATCGGCCCCGTCCCGTCCTTCACATGATTCAGCATTATTTTCACGACTTTTGGCAGCCGGGACGTTGGCTTCTAGAGGGAGGGGATAGTGTTACGGACTCCGCCAGGGCTCGATTCCTGGTCTGCGGGTTACCACCCGCCAGCTTGCTGTATTTGTTTTCTTTTTTTGTTTTGCAATTCTTTTGTTTTTGTTCTTGCTTTTCTGATTTCGGACAGTTGGCGCCATCTGCATTCTGGCGCCCAGTTTCAAATTCCTTCTTTTGGGACTTTCGGATTTGGACACTTTACGCCATCCAACATTCTGGCGCCCACTCTCAGACTTTCGATTTTCAGTTCTGGCCCTGAGGCATTTTCACTTTCGCCCTCAGGACTGTACTTGAGTCCAGTACTTATGGACGGACTCAAGCCCAGTACGGGCACCAAGTTTTCAGCCTCAGTGCTTGTGTTCAGTGCGACTTGGCTTCGACATTGTGTTCAGGAATTCAAGACTGCGACTTTGCGACTTTTGCCACTTTGTGTCTGCGTCGAGTTGAGTGAGTGTGTGTGTGGAGTGAGTGTGTGTGTGCTCTTACTCTCCCTCTCTCTCCCAGCTTCGCTGCTCTGCCTCTGCCTTGTCACACATATGATCCCCACTCAACTACAACCAATTTCAGAACGAAAAGATGAAAGCACTGTAGAAAGATGAGCAATGCAAAACAAGATACTTGCATCCATGCATCCATCAGGTGAGAGAGCACTCCACAATGCGAGCAATGCAAAACAAGATACTTGCATCCATGCATCCATCAGGTGAGAGAGCACTCCACAATGCATCCACATCGG